GGCTTGCAAATTGTGCCTACTTAGCTAGTTCTGAAATTTTTTATGTAAATCCGTCACCACCACCTTGGGCAACCGAGTCGTGGTAAGTTAGTTTATTATCTTGATGACATAAACAAAATGTTAAAAAAAGTGAGTGAGCAAAAATTAATTAGTTCTGTTTTTGTCCGCGCAAATGCACAGATTCAACTGTAGCAAAAATTAAAAGCATGTAAGATAAAGAATACCCTCTCGATATCTTGTTTCGTGCCTAGCTTTTCGAAAGGTCCGAGGCAAATTTTTTTAAAAAGAATTCCTACAGATAAGTTTTAGCTATAGTTAAATTTAATTTTAAATAATTGTTAGAATACCAAAAAAAAATAATAAAATTTACTAAGAATAAATAAATTTTTATTTTAGCATAAATAAACTTTTATTTTAGTATGGAAGAGATTTTGAATTTGGGATAAGAATCTCAAAAAATTTTTTAATTTAATATTTACCACTAGATTACAATAAACTTTTAAAAAAATGAAACCTAAAATTATATAATATTATATTTGGAGAAATTTCAAAAAATGCCACATTTTTACAATCTTTGCAAAAATGCCACTTTTTCAAAATTATTTATTCATTATATCATTTATGTTTAGGTTAACTATGTTGTATTAGGGTTTAGTTTTGAGGGTTAAAGGGTTTTAGGAGTCAAAAGATTTTTTAAGGTTTAGAATTTTAAGATTTAGGCTCTAAAAAATTAAAATTAATGGCATTTTTGCAAATGGACACTAAAAGTGATATTTTTGCGAATGTGGATGCAAAAAGTGGCATTTTTATAAATGTCTCAATTATTTGGAGCCTCGACGAATGTCTCTTTAAAAATACAAGGTAAGCAAGCCCTATCCATATGTGGGACAAAATCAAACATACCTAAACCTAATTTCGAATGTTCGATCAGATTATTTATCATTGACCAGACAATCGAAATTCAAACCTGAGTCGAAATAGATAAGGCCATTCATTGTCCCTCAATACAAATTAATTACTCGTCAAGACTTTTAAAATAGAGAAGTGGTCGATGTTGCGCCACTTTCGCATTAACGTTGACGTTTGAAAAACAAGAAGCAATAACCTCCACAGTCAACAATTTCTGCTCCATTCATTATGACCACCACCACGTGATGCCATCTTGGAATCTTCTTTCCATATCTTTTTATTCTTTTGGTCAGTTCAACCACCAATGCCTAGTGAGAGGGTAAGTTGACCAATTTGATTTTGATTGGTCACAAGTATTTGCCCGCAATACTCGGTCTACGATATTTTTTTGATTTTATTCATAGACTAATTTACACCTTGCTGATGTGCGTTTTGACCGACTTCTGATGATATCACGTTAACAGAATAGATCACGTCTGGTTTCTTTATTGCTTATAAAACCAGACTCTCCTTAGTTAACAATTCACGGTACACATCTCAGAAAAAAATATAAAGTTTAGTAAGAGAAAAGGACAAAATGAAGACATTTATTGTGAAGGGTCTCCTTCTTTTGGCCCTTGTATGCAGCTGCAGAGCAGCAGACTCAATATGGGAGCTCTGCAACAAAGATTCAAACATCTCAAGTACCAGCCAAATCTCCAAGAACATCGATTCTCTTCTCGCTACGCTCGTCTCAAAGACTCCTTCACGAGGTTTCTTGACCACAACTTCCTCAAGTTACAACAACAAAGACAATGTGTACGGGCTTGCTCAATGCAGAGGAGACATCAGCAAGTCCGATTGCTCGAGCTGCATCCAAGACGCTGCCAAGAAAATTCGTGAAGCCTGTCCCAACCAATCCGACTCAAGGATCTTGTACGATTTCTGCTTCTTACGTTACAGCCAAGAGAACTTCGTAGGGAAGCTCGACACGGGCTCTGGTCTTATATACTACAACATCGCTAACGTGACCGAGACCGACCCCAAAACGTTTGATAATGAGCTCGGGGCACTTTTTGACAGAATTAGGTCAGAGGCGGTTTTGCCTAAGAGTCAAGGCTTAGGTAAAGGAAAGACAAAGCTGACACCTTTTGTGACACTAAACGGTTTGGTTCAGTGCACAAGGGACTTAAGCGAACTGGATTGCGCTCAGTGCTTCGCAACTGCGGTGCGGAGCTTCATGACAACTTGCCACAACAAGAAGGGATGTCGTGTTTTGTATAGCAGTTGCTATGTCCGGTACGAGTTTTATCCCTTTTACTTCCCTCTTGATCCTTCCAAAACCGGCCTTAGTGTTGGTACTATTTCTTCCGTTAGTCTCTCTCCCTAGTCACTAATGATAGTACAAAGTGTATGTTTGATTCGAAAGAGAATATACAATGAATAAATCTGTTTGATTCCAAAGAGAATATACAATGAATAAAGCTCTTTGGTTTCCCTTTTGTTTTCTTAAGATGTAAACAATTAAGTTGCAAATTTATTTTTGTTATCCTAAACAAAATACTAATAATTCAGATATTGACTCAATTGTAAAATACATAAACTAAAACTATGATGAGCTTACATGCTTAGATAGCTACTTTATAATTTCTTGAGTTTATTTAAAAGATGTTCGTTAATTAACTCTAGATTATGGCTCGCGTGATGCGCGAGTTTTATTTTAGAATTTTCTTAATTATTACGACGAAAAGTTTAACTAATCTAGTAGTTTTATATTTATAAATGAAAAAACCACCATTTTTTATAGATATAAAATAATATTTTTTTTGAATTGAAATGAAATTAAATGTTTTTCTTATTTATGTTGTATGAAAATATGAAATGATACTCAATCATTTTAATATCGATACGATATTTAAAATAATATATTTCTTTGAGACTTTGTTATCTATCTATATATAAATAGTTTTTATAGTTTTGTGTTTAATCGCTGACTGCTCTCTTATTGTTTTTATAGTATAAACATTTCGTAAACTCATAATGTTTATACTACTCTCAAATAAAGTACAATATAATGAATATATTTCATGTTGTAATTTAATATATACAACAATAAAATACTCAAA